CAGGAGATAAAGAGAACTTGGGGAGAAGATAACTGTGGTGCTTAGGGGATGAAAAGCAGAGACTGTCAGACAGAACGAATGAATGACAGTCCATCGACAGCTTCCACTATGACTTTCCTTCAAGAGGAGTTAAGAGGGAAGGAGAAGAAAGAGGGTTGTGGGACAAGGGAAGATTCACAGAAATGACAGCAAAAGGTCCTGAAGACAACGTTTGAACAAAATGTTTCAGGAAACAGGAAGATGGAGAAAAAAGGGTATTGGAAGGGTGAAGGTGCACAAAGCAGCTATTGTGGAGAGAGAGAGTTGAGTTAGGATTTGTGTCCTGAATACAATGCTGTCATATTCAAGAACAGATGGACACACAGGAGGTGTCTGAGGCAACTTTGTGCAAGTAGCACGAAGGAGCTCTGTGCAAAGGATTTCTGCTGGAAGGAGCATTAATACCAGTGGGACGTGGCAGAGGATGACAGAATCATAGAATAGCTTCGGTTGGGACCTTGGCAGGTCATCTGGTCCAACCCCTTGCTCAGAGCGAGGACAGAAAATAATACATGTGAGATGAAAAATTCCCTTGCATCTTCACAGATACAAAATTAAGCCTTAGCTATACGCCAGAAATGCGTACCCACAGTCAAACCTTCCCTTGGTTCTGTACGGTTGATGTTCCCCCCTGGAAGCAGTGCTCATTTTACAGATTACTGGAGTTGTTACTACAGTTGCTCTGGATTCTTTGCTGTGGAGCACAGAGGCTCTTTGCATATGAAAAACAGGCAAAAGACACACATGACAATCAGCCTGTAGCTTGCTCTAAACACACGTGCACATCTGATCCACAGTTGATACTAGCACAAAACAAAGATAAGAAAAATATTTCTCATGCAAACTGGGTTGGTGGTTAATCAAGTGAATCGTACCTTTTAGAGAGGTATCCTAGCAACTCCCCAGCAGCCACAAGTCCCGGCTGACAGTGCACACTGATGCAATTGTTCTCCTCCTGCAGACATCAAAACTTTGCAGCTAATCAAAGAGATAATTCGAAACAGGAGACCACGTTAAAATTTGATCCAACAAAAGGGAATTTAATAAATGAGCAGTGTCACCCGGGGCATCTCTTATGCTTAAAGTTGTCATCTCAGAACAAGAGTAGGTCAGGCTTAGTGAAGCCATGCCAACTCCAGGAACAAAACCTCCCTTCCTACAATTGGCAGCATGATTCTCCTGAAGGCGCTTGCTTCTGCCGTGTCGGTTTTTGCTGGTCCCCCCTTTAGAGCACTATGCAGAATTTATTACTATTTTCTTGAATAGCAAAGGCTCACCCGAAGCACGCTAGAGCACAAGGATCAGCAAAAGCCCTGCTGATGCTCTTGTAGCCATTTACCCCAAGATGTTTCCCTGAACAAATTCCTACACCCGACATGCCAGAGCGGATATTCTTTCACATCTCCCGACAGTGCCAACAGGCTCTGGGCTAGCTGGATTGGACCTACTGTCTCAGGACCAGCAATGGACCTCAGGCTACCAAGTAGCCTAAGCACATCCTCTCCAAGTGTCCCCATTTTGGAAGCATTATAGATCTGCAATTCACCTCTTTAGGTGTGTATGCAACAGGTGAAGCAAATTCAGAAACACGAGATTTATTAGCGTTCTGAAAAATCGGTGGTTTTTTTACTCTTTAGCTAGCCCGAAGATACCACTGATCTGAGAAAAACATTCAATACATTTAAACATTTCGCGGTTCACTTTTCTTACCACCGTAATGTTTTTCAGGCTCCAGTTCAGACTTGTGAAGGGCATCCCAACTTCTCCTCCTACAGCTTACATCTCTTTTCCTGGATTACAGAAGATCTACTACACTACCCCCACCTTCCACTGTTCATCTCCTCTCTCAAAGAGAAAAATCTTTATTCTTAAAACTTCCTGTTTCCTCTGTCAGCTGAACCCTGACACCTGACCACCTTCATCAGATGCTCCTCAGACAGTTTTCTTTGATGACCACTCTCCTGGGGATCAGAACTGGAAGAACAGTTTTCCCGGGGCAGTAACCATCTCCTTGAATATTCCACTAAAACAGTGAATCAAACTTTAATGATCTCTTCTTGTTAGAATGGAGGAATTTCTCCCACCACCTTTGGTGGTTCAGAAGGAAAGCAAAACACAACAGATGTAACAGCCACACAATCCGAACACGTAACTAACAGAATCTACAACTGGACATAAGACATCAAATCATACAGAAATCATCATTAAAGTATTTGTGACCTACTTTTTACCACAAAAAGATGGATTTTCCTGCAGTCGATCAAGTGCTATGAAACACTGCCACCACGAAAGGCAACACGCAGACTATCTGCATACAGTAGTTGAGACCAGGGGCCAAGTGGACTACAGGGGATCAATGTGCCCAATCGTAACGGTCCACAGACCCTTTTAAGCCCTTGCTGAAGTTGCTTCCAGTCAGTAGAAAACTGTTACTGAAGAGCAGAAACACTGCTCTAGAGAAGGACTCCAAGGTTTCCCCCCACAAACAAAAGATTCCCTCCCAAAGCGCTGGCTTTACACGTTAACTGTAATGGTATTTGCATAACAGTAACTCTCAAACTGGGAAGTGCAGCAAGAAGACAGAATAAGCTGTAGAGATAGGGAGCAATGAGGGGAAAAGGGAAACCATGCCTGTGATACTGTTCCCAGCAGATTAATTTATTTTCACCTTCCTAACACAGATGCACCTTTTTATTTGTGCAAATCACCAGAGTGTTTGCTTCAGGAAGAGTCTGGTAACAGGATCTGAACATTTGTGAAGGGGTTGATAACATGAAACAGCTTAGAAACTACACATTTGTAATTGAAACAGCAGGGCATGTCAGTTCAGCACGACAGTTAGAATTTGCCAGATGTTAATGGGTTGACTTGCAAAGAAACAAGAAAACCAACTCTCCATACACTACATGATCTTCAATAACCGCAGCAGCTACATCGTTGTTTTATGCCTTAGAATCCTCAACCACAGGAAAGAAAAATAAACGACTCACCCTAGCAGTATCTTCAGGAGCAAACTGCCTTCTTCTAGAAGGGCAGCAGTCACCCACAATTGGGACAAGAAAGTTAAGACAAATAACCACCCACTCACACACAAACACCCACCGCAGACTTCTAACTCTTACACACGGTATTCCCCCAAAGAAGTCACGGCGGAAGAGTAACAGGGGTAGTTAAATTCACTGTTGCTGGTCAGAATTGTCCTGATACTCTGACCATCTGCAAGCAAAATGAACCAGCTCAATTCTCTAGTATCATAAGCAGGTGAACGTGAGTTGCTCTTCACTACAGGGTGCCAAGTGAGAATGGTCCCACACACTGGGTCTGGATCTGTGACTAATTTCCTTCCTGAACGGGGAGGAGCAAACAAAATTATTGCATGATGCAGACACCAGCCTTTCTTTTCAGAAGAGCCATTGTGTTCAGAGAAATTTTGACTCAAAGCCTCTTGAAATCATGAGAATCCTTCTCTGTATTTTGGTATGTTTTGAATCAGGCTCACAGGGAGCTATCAGAATTTCAAAATCTGTTATTGTAGTAAGGAATGACCTGCAGATTATTTTCTGGAATGCCTCTGCTAAATCCTTCATTGCCCCTTTTAAATTTGTGTACATGGTACCAACTAGTGAATAACAACACTAACAATGTTGTTACCATCCTCCCCCAGTATCAATAACATGACATAAAAAGTCAGAACTTTGTGTTAAAGATGATCTAGACACAAAAATTTTACTCAACTCATTTAATAAAACCATTTTGTTAAAAAATGACTTAATAACGATTGGAATTTTACATAGAAAATTCAGAAATTACAAAAAACCAGCATTATTAATAAATATAACCTGAAAATATGAGAAGAGTTAGACAAATTTGGTAGTAAGGTCTACAGAAATCCTATGCAGAAGACAGATCAGCTGTTCCTGAGTAAATTGTGTTTCTGTTGATGTTCTTCTGAGATAACATGATCGCAGCGTAGAATATTCTCTTTCTACCTGAGCCTTTGTGCTGGGTATGTCTCTTCTATCTGTTTCATGACACTGATGTTACACACGCCTTCTCCTGACACAGTTAAGAGGCGCTCCGAATGCTTGAGGAAGAAAATATCTGAGGCCTAAAAGAAGTACTCCAAATGAAAAGCGGCATGCTGGGAGCAGCCTACAGGTAAAAACCCCAACACTTCCTATGTCGGCTAGCCAAAGATGTCCCAAATGCCAGGGCTGCGACACAGAAGCTTGCTGCCTTTCTTAGTCAACTCGTTCTGCAATAAATAACAATGCTCCCTCGTGAGAAGTATAATTTTAATTAACATACTATTACACATCAGTAAGTCTCAAAAATGTAGCAAGCGATGGCAAGAGAGAGAGGGTGAGAGCAAGCAAAGG